CAGTGGTGGCACTGCGTCGTCGACTCGCGTCCGATCCGATTCATCCGATCCGATCGGAACGTGAAGACGCACTCCCGCTGGCTCAACCAGACTTCGAGGTTGGGCAGGATCGTGCCGACGGCGCGCTGGCGCGAGATCCACGGCTGTTCCAGCCTCTCGTGCCACTTGTGAGTACCTAGCTTAAGAATGAATCTTTTGTTAAAGTATAAACATTTTTTGTACGCTAGTATACATAGATATCGTTGTAATGTGTTTTTTGTAGGTTTATCCATTACGTGTTCACAGACTGCAGACTTTTTTAAGTGACGATGCTTGACATGAGCTATATAATAAATAATACGTTCTTTGACGCGGGTACGCAATTATTATATTTTTCTATTTTTAATGAAAATGAAAATTACAATCCTCTAAAAAGGGAATAGTCATTTTGACAAACGTCCATCACATAACATCAGGTGAGATTATGAACAAGCGTGTGTCTATTTGTCATAAAAATTGTAGGCCGAGAAAGTATAGCCATAAATAAACAAAAAACACACAAATGAAGTAGTTACTTTAGAGCTTTATTAAAACAAAAAAGCACGTGGGCGTAATCAAAACAACCGTAACAAATACAATTAACAATAGAGTTCGAAAAAAGAATGCACCCTATTCAAACAATGTTACACAAAGACATCAAAGAGTTTAAAAAAAGCGGTATTTTCTCTATTCTTCTAAGTTAACGTTGACGCAATTTGTTTAGCCTTTGAAAAGCGTAAATTGATTTGTTTTCCCCTTTTATTTTGAGTGACCGAAATTGTATTTTATTTATGGGCCTAGTAAACGTCAAACAAGGACATGTTTTATTTATTTATTTTTTGTTTTTGTAATTACTGAAATGTTCTTGATGACAGAGGCCTATCAGATAGTTTTTTTTAAATTTATGTATAGTATACTAACTATACAAAGAAATATTATAATAACTCACACACTTATGTAACTTTACAATATACAGAGATGGGCAGTGGGTTAAAATCCAATCAACCCGCACTCACTCAGAGCTTTGAATCGCAAAGATCTTAGGGTCGCCCTGAGACATAAGTTGACAAGTCCCATGTACCTGTAATTAATTACTGCTCACATTACTGCTTGGCGGCAAAAATATGTAAGGTGGCTAAATAAATAATAATAACAAATTAGTGGAATATTCTCACAAAAAATACATGAATATCGAGGTACTAAACCATCATATAAATAATAAATAAGTACATATAAAAATATTAGACAACATCACATTTATGTTATGGAAATTGGAAACAACGACGATTCCACAAACCATCGAGTATGTAACCATAAATAGAGATGAAATGTCATTTAATTTGTTTGAAAACTATTCTGTCAAATCATTACTGTGACAACTGCGCTCGATTGGCCAGCCCGAATTCGAAACAATTGACGGGTATCGTCAATGGGTGTTGTTGTATAGCCAGCTAGCTACAGCTAGGTAGTTAGACTGTATAGGTGTCGTCAATGGGTTTTGTCAATTGTTTCACTTCAAATCGACCAGTTTTTTGCAAAATTTGAGCAAAATTACATATTGAATATTTAAATTTTAATTTTGATTTGATTCCGTTTTTGTAATTAGACGTTTTGCTGTTTGTCCCACACCATCAAATGGAACAGCACGCCATTGTTAGAGATATTATCTTTATTACAATAAATACAGAATATTTTTGGAATATACGGAGACGTACACACAGGCCAGTTGTTGGCGCTGTACCATTTCAGTTTTCTAATTTGTAATTTCTAATTCTAATGTAGATATTTTTATGATAGATATTTTTATGTGATGTATCACTAATGAGTTACCAGCAATGTATGGCCCTTATTTCATCTCTATTTCTGGTTATATTCTCCATGCCACAAACACACAGACCCGAGACAATATAGAAAATGTAATTTCTATTTTGATCCGGCCGGGGATCGAACACAGGACCTCGGAGATGGCGACGCCATGAAAACCGGTGTGCAAGCCCCTCGGCTACAGAGGTCGTAAAAAAAGAAAAAGAAAATCAAATCATGATATTCCATCAACCATCATCAACCCATTTATACATCCCACTGCTGGGTATGGATCTACTCTCAGGCGAGGAGGCGATAGACCGCCATGCTGGCCCAGTGCGAGTTGGGGACTTTACACGTTTGCCGAGGGTTATGAACCTTCTTCGGCGTGCAGGATTCATTACGATGATTTCGCACATAAATTCCGAAAACTTAGAGGAACAAGCCCGGAATCGAACCCGCGGCATATGCTTGAAAGACTGTAGTCAAACCATTAGGCTACCACGGCTGGATATTTAGTAAATAAAATATTATATATGCGCCATTGACTTACAAATAAATGGACGACGGTTCTAATACAAAAACCACGAAAAAAATGCCCAAGTCAACCTATTTAAACGTAGTGACATGTAAAGGAATATGAAAAAGCTAAAACGTTAGATTTAAATTGTAATGTCATCGCAGTACTGTCTAATTTTGCTTGCTTCGCTGTCAGTCGAACAAACGAAGACTAAATCGTGAATGACGCTTTGTATACGATTTTAACGCCCTATAAGTTCGGACACTTTTTAGCGCGGACCCGACGTCCATATAATTGTAAGTCAATGATATGCACATAAATTTTAATTGAATTGATATTCATTTGTTTCTTGTGAAATAACTCCACTAGTTTGTTATAATTATTAATACAAAGATATACAAAGACTTAGAAAAGATTCTTTCGATTCATCCATCCGGGGATCCTTTCAATTAGATATAACTGGTTGACGAAATACTTTCATAGATGGCGCTACGGCTAAAAAAATTGGAAAACAAAAAAAATACAAAAACAAATCCGACAAACAAACACAGAGAAATTCGTTCCATCGTTCCGTGGCTTAGTTGGCACAGCGTCTGGCACGGTTTGCTAGAAGACGTTCGGTTCGAATCCGGCCGGATCGAAGGAATTTTTTCAGAGTGTTCGATCTTTGTATTAATAATTATAACAAATATACACGTATATTATTGAAAGGTAAATTGATATGCAAAGACTAATTATTATCTACGCGATTTTAAATACGAAAAAAATAATTCCAATATGTACAGTACACCATATCAAGCTATATACACTTTTGTTCGAATATCGCCTCAAGAGCAACGAAACTAGATACGTGAATGTGTAACTAGCTTGATATGTTTGCCATCGCAGACCAAACAAATCTACCACCAATTATATTCAGGCTGTCATACATACAATTTAATAGAAAAAATTGTAATTTAAGTAGGTAATCGTTTTTGCCCGCGGTTTCTTTAGAGTACCCTGTTATACATACTTCGCGTTAATATCTACTAAGTTTCATCGAAACTGAATAACAAACACCTTTATAACTTTTCCATATAAACTTCCCGCTGCCGAAAATTTCATAACACAATAGTATAAAATAACAACAATAAAGAGATGATATTATCAATTGGGACTGCGATAAATTTCGCGTGTTCTACCCACTCTGTATAGTCGTGACGTCACCGCGTTGGTCGCGGCTGCGCGCCCCAAGCAGTCAATAATTTGAACCGAGTATGTAACAGGCCCTGTGGCGCAACGGATAACGCGTCTGACTACGGATCAGAAGATTCCAGGTTCGAATCCTGGCAGGGTCGGAAACTTCAATATATTCGCCGTTTTTTGGTTTTTTTTTGTTCGTTTTCGTATAAATAAATATAATTTCATTTCATTTCTTTGTACATAATTTAAATTTTATTAACGGATTTTATATTTTAAATAACACGTATCTGCTAGTGATCGCTGTACTGTTTTTTGTACTGAGTACGGGAAAAAATAAATAATGAAAAGAATCCTGCCGCCGTTTGTTGAAAGGACGCATGTGACATTTTCCAAAAAATTTGTTGTTTATACTGCCATGAGTAGGAAACAAAGGCCGATGTGTCACTATATTTATTTTTTCCTAGATGGATAAGATAAGAAATTACCACAAGAGAAAAGTAGATATTTTTTAATTTCATTTCTTTAATAGTAGATTGTACAACAATTGAATTGAAAAAATTGTATAACGCGTCATTTTACCCGAGGCGAGTATATCCTTAAGTCGAGGGTAAAATGGGTTTTATGAACGAGTTATACACTGCTTTTCACTTCGATTGCGAGGAAATTAAACAGCAATATTACAAATAAACGACTATTTAATTAAAATTGAATGTAAAATTACAACAATAAGACATATTGAATGTGATGGTTTTTCCTTATTTTATTCACTAGAGCACAAAATCCTATTTTATGGAGCCTACACCCAGCTAAAATACGAACTTTAGGAGCATGAGAAGTGAAAACATTATTTTTGGTTTTGATTTTTAGTCACAATCAACCAATAGCGGCGGCAGAATCTGTCACCTATACTTTCCTTACATAACAACCTATAGTTTACCTCACATCATACATTTACTTTACTGTTTTTAAAAAGTCAATGACCGGATAATTTACCTACCCTCTGTCTATCGAAAACTACCCTCCACATAACAATTTCCTGAAATTACTAATTTATTTTAAACCGACTTCAAAAAAAGGAGGAGGTTCGCAATTCGGCTGTGTTTGAAAAACCAATTATACGCGATTTAAATCCGGAAAAATAGTGTCATTTCCTATGTGTAACAATCGCGAAAACCTAAGAACTCAATAATTAGACTGTATGTTTTGTTTTTTTTGTATGTACATACATTTTACGCGATAACTCTTTTCTGTGAACCGATTTTGTTGATTGTTTTATTGTTGGAAAGAAGGTACCTTAATACTGGTCCCATTTCAATTTAAAGAAAGTATTCCACCTCTAAGATGGCAAACTTTCGCTCACTTTCCGGTAACCGATTTTAATAAAACTTAGCAAATAGATGTAATTCCACGACATTTTGAAGTTTTTTTAATACTCTGGACTGAGCTTAGCTGTATTAAAACCATCGTTTTGTTTTAGATGTTCGGCATGCTGAATGTTCCCCACACATCTGGCAAGATCCTTCGGTACTCCGGACCCTCGCGGCCACGACCCACCTTCATGGTGCCTCCTCAGCGTGACAGGTACGATACGATAGGTTTTACGTAGATATAAAAAGTTTCAAAATTGCACATTGCTCATTGGCACCACATCAACCCAGAATAAATTTGACCCGGACATACTAGGGGGCACTGTTTAAGGAAGTGACACGCTCGGGATTGTGGAGAGGAAGACCAACCAGTCGCAACAAAAAAACTGAAGTCCCAGGGGACTTCTTCAAATTGAAAATGAAAGATTCGAAAAGATGGCGTCTTGACTACTACAGCTTCGTGTGTAATACTGAATACGACTGTGTTGCCCAAAGTTTGGGGACAGAACGTGCAAAAAGTTCAGAGACATTGTCCTGCCTCCAGCGCCATTTCACGTCCGATCGTTATATGACCTTATTAGTTAGAAAGATTTTTTAATAGGACTGCATTTTGAAGTAAAAGGTCCACATTTTTTAGTTGATAGTCTGTTCATCTAAGGCAACGATTTATACTAACTTTGTATACATGTCTAAACTGCCCGTGTAAATTTACGTACTGTGAAATTATTGACTTTAGTCTATATTTGCACAAATCAATAAATAAAAACCAGTGGCCAGATTCCTGCTGGCTATGCAGCGTGTGACAGAAAGTATGTAGTAGAAGTAATTAGTTATTTAATTAGGCGGTTAGGTAGCGTAGTTAGGAATGAACGTTGATGGTGTTGGACTTCGTGCTGCCGTAGTGGTTAATCTTGGGTGAGGTTGTATTGTCGTCCATAGAACTCAAGTTGTGTTATTTATTAACCAACTTCAAAAAAAGGAGGAAGTTCTCAATTCGACTGTATGTTTTTTTTGTATGTATGTATGTTACGCGATAACAAATTTATGAACCGGTATCGGTTAACCTCAGTAGTGGTACCTACTATTTGAATTTAAAGAAAATTAAAAGGTAGCAAACTAGGGAATAACCGGTAACCGATTTCAATAAAACTTTGCAAATGGATGTAATACCAACAACTTTTGAGGTCGGTTTTTTAGTACTCTGTACTAAGATTATTCCCCCTTCGGATTCGGTGTCGGTTTCTGGGATTCTGTATATTTCTTCAACTACCTACCTAAATTTATCCTGTTGCTAGTTCTATCCAGTATACACAAATTGTCAAAATTATTTCTTAAAATTTGTATCTTACGTCGTTTACGTAGCCTTCAAATTCGTAGTTTTTAAAAGTGACTTACATTGTTTGACACTGAACTAAGGCTCAATTGACATACCGCGGAACGGCAAGCGAATTCTTGTAACAAAATTATACACAGCATAATGATATTTATGTTAATTGTGTAACGTACAAACTAGATACGAGACGGTAGCTCCGGAATTTCCGAGATTGCGCGAGAATTCTCCAAAATATGCACGACTTATTTTTTGGCTCGAATTTGACACCTCTGAACCAAAGTCAAACCTTTCGTTTACTGATCTTCTGATCGAATCGATAGCTTACACTATTGTGGGAACTCAGCCACGCCGACCGCTTCCGACCGAAGCCGCCATGCGGTGTAAGATGGGCCATCGTTTGAATCGCACCAATCTTACTTATAATAAAAAGAGGCAGATACACACTGACAAGAAGTTTTTTTTTTGTTTTTGCTGTGATTGTGCGAATTATTTAGTTTTACATTTTTATTTCCTGTATCCATTGACTTACAATTATATGGACGTCGGGTCCGCGCTAAAAAGTGTCCGAACTTATAGCGCGTTAAAATCGTATACAGAGCGTCATTCATGCTTTAGTCTTCGTTTGTTCGACTGACAGCGAAGCAAGCAAGCTTAGACAGTACTGCGATGACATTACAATTTAAATTCAACGTTTTAGCTTTTTCATATTCCTTTACATGTCACTACGTTTAAATAGTTTGACTTGGGACATTTTTTTCGTGGTTTTTTTATTAGACCCGTCGTCCATTTATTTGTAAGTCAATGCTTGTACCTATAAATTTTACTGTCAACCCTTTGTTGTCAGACTCTATTAATTGTTCAAAATCATTGTTCAATATAGTGATATTAACGAGAGAGTAGTGCTGCGCCGTTCGCATAAAAACCACAAATACAATACAAATTCTTTGTAAACACACAAATATCATTATTATTTGTTTATTTATTGAGCATTATGACTCTGAGTCAACAGCTTAAAAAGATCACAAGTAATTCAGAAACTCAAAACATAACTCCAACTGAAAATTAATTCGTGTTAAAAACTGTAATTATACAAAAAGCTATAGCTAACAACACTGTAAATGATTTTAAAGTTCCTACCGATATCCTCGATTTTTTGACGATCAACATGAGAGATCAGACAAAATCGAGTAAATGTGTAAGAAGCAGGTAATCAATATCGTATTTTATGTAGTTTGTAGTCGACACGTCACAAAATGGAGCAAATCTGCAGGCACCTTTACAGTTTTTAGTACAACACTGTTTTTGTTTTTTCCATAACTTCTGAAACGATTGAAATCAAATTACTATACGGCTTTGTAAAGAATATATAGTTACTTTGACTATCATTTTTTATTTGTGCTTATTACCATACCATACAATTCCTCAAATCCCCATATTGTATTAATCCACAGAAGTGATCATAGTAATTCAGCAACTCCCTAATTTTTTTATACAAAAATGTACCTTGATATTATCTTGCGCAACTCAGATCCTTATTGCACATAAACGTGTTCCACGAAGACCCTGGATATTTGTATATGTATATTGTGAGACTTCCGAAATTGTTGCAATGATTACGAAATAAATTCCGTATCGAGTTGAAAATCGTCGATGATTTCGTAATAACCACGTTGAAGGTTGGGCAGGAAAGTTGGAGTTTGTTCGGTTTCGCATTTCATAATGTTTGCAAATTAGTTATTAACTTTTTTCAGTGTATCCAATTAAAATTCTCCTTCGGTTATAGCTTGGTTCGACTCCTACCTCAGAGGCCGCTTGCAGTGTATTCGCTCTGACGAGGCTTCCTCTGATTGGTGTGACTTAGTTGCTGGCGTTCCTCAGGGTGGTGTTCTTTCCCGTCTCCTTTTCTCTGTTTTCATTAACTCTGTCACTTTTGCGCTGTCTTCAAACTTTCATCTCCATGCTGACGATTTGCAGCTATACCGCAGTTTTAAAGCGTCTGATGTCGTTACAGCCGTTGAAGCGGTTAATGCTGATTTACGAAGCATCGCTCATTGGGCCGAGTCTTTTGGTTTATTGGTGAATCCCAAAACGTCACAGGCTATGATTGTGGGAAGTGGGTATATGCGTGGCATATTGCATCTATATTCTGTCCCACCTATAGCATATAATTCCATGCCTATTGCTTATGCTTCTACTGCAACTAATCTTGGCTTGCTTTTAGATTGTAATTTTGTTTGGACTCTACATATTAATGAAGTCAGTCGTAAAGTCCATTTCTCCTTGCACTCACTTAAGCGCCTCCAAAACGTTTTACCTCTAGAAACCAAGTATGTTTAGCCCAAACACTTATTTTGCCCTTCTTAGACTATGCTGATTCCTGCTATTTGGATGGTACTGAAGAGCTGCTAAATAAGCTTGAACGACTGCAAAACCTATATATTATACATACAGGTTCATCTTTGGGCTTCGCAAATATGACCGAATTTCACATTTCCGCAGTCAGCTCAAATGGCTTCGCATCCGTCTCCACAGGAATTTGCATATTGTCTCCATTCTTTATATTATTTTCCATAACCCTGTGTGTCCCGAGTACCTGAAAGAGCGTTTCAGCTTCCTTAGGTCCCAGGATAAACGCTGTCGCTCTCTTACTTGGTACTTGGTACTTGGTGCAACGGGCTGGTATCCGCAACATGACGACAAAGCGCCTATTTTGCGTGTGGTGGGTGCAGGGTCCTACTCGTGCCACCCAAGCTCCTCCAGGAATCACAGCAGCCTCCTTGGTTTGCTGAAGACTTCGGGGAGCGACCTTGGCACTCCCAAGGTACTTTGCCCTGTAGTTGGCCACGCCGGAGCACTGAAGTAGGATGTACGCAGCCGTTTCCTTCCCTTCCATGCACGCTCTGCATAAAGGGCTGTCGGTGATACCTAAATTGAAAAGGTGTTTATTGTATGGAGCATGACCCGTTAGGGCGGCAGTTAGAGTGCGAAGCTCTTGCCTTTTAAGTTTAATTAGTATTCGAGTTAGACTTGCATTGAGCATTGGGAGTGCTTCCCTCGCCTATCTACAAACCGTAAGGGTGGTCCATGTATTATTATGTGAAGATTTTGTACCTTTGTGTATAGTTGTTCTGGACCATTGGCAGGGGAGGGACACTATCGGTTCTGGTCCTACAGCGTCCGTCTCCGACCCTTTTCTGGCTAGTTCATCTGCTGCGTCATTGCCACGTGAGCCGCTGTGTCCTTTAATACACTGTAGAGTTACGTGGTTTTGTATACATGCCTTCATGAGTGCTTCACGGCATTCGTAAATGAGCCCTGAGTTTATGTCATAGCTATTCAGTGCTTGAAGTACTGACATACTGTCGGAGAGTATTCGAATGGAGTAGTTCATTACTCTTCTCGCTATGATTGCTTCTGCCGCCAACTTGATGCCCATGCATTCAGCCTGGAATACTGTGTTGTGGTCACCAAGCGGTGCTGATATCCTGATATTGAGGTCTTCTGGTAATACCCCAGTACCTGTTCCTGAGTTTGTTTTAGATCCATCAGTGAAGACTCGGACCTCTCTGGGGTTCAGTCCTTCGTTGGGATCTTCAAACAATTGTATCTTGTATTTTTTGTCAAAGATGTATTGTTTTGGGATCTTATCCACAACCGCCTCCAGTAGCGGTTCCTCATTGACAGTCTTATAAGGGATTTCTGTATGTGGTGTCCTCATGTGCTTCCAAAGGCCGACTCTGTTTAGACGCACTGCTGTTGACGCCGCTTCCTGTCTGATGAACAGTGGAAGGGGTTGAAGGTCCAGCATCGCTTCGAGGGCCGTAGTTGGAGTTGTCCTCATGCAGCCGGTCGTCGCCATGCAAGCGAGTCTTTGGAATTTGTCCAGCTTGTCGGTTGCGGTCGTCAGCTTGGTTCGTGGCCACCATACTGTCGCGCCGTAACTAATCATGGGTCTTATCACCGCAGTGTAGAACCATAGTGTTATCTTGGGTGAAAGTCCCCATTGTTTACCTACCATTCTATGGCACTGCCAGAAGGTGATAGTAGCTTTTTTAATTTTGTTGTCCAAATGTTTGTTCCAGTTCAACTTGTTGTCCAGTATTACTCCCAAGTACTTGACTTCGGTTGATATCTGTAGTTCTGTGCTGAAGAGTTTGGGTAATCGATAGTTACCTAGTGTTCTGTCGCTCTCTTGTTAGGTCCCAGTTACCTTTTCCATGCTTCAATTCCGGTTTCTATTCTCACTCCTTCACAGTTCATGCGGTCAGACTTTGCACTTCCTATTACTGTTGACGAAAGTAAATCGTTAGCTATTTTTAAAGTGAGACTTAAAGAGCATTATTTATCTACTATTCCATCCATACCTTAGGTATTATATTATAAAATATGTATTTATCTAAGTATTTATATAATTTATAACAATTTAATATTATTATATTATTATTTTTTTCTTGTTTTGGTGTGCGCATATGCTCGTTTTTTTAGTTATAGTGTATTTATTTAGGTCTGCAGGAAGAAATTTCTATTAGAAATAAGCAGAACCTTTTGTTTTTAATTTCCCTTGTATTCTTTGTGACTTATTGTATTTTTCCTGTACAATAAACTATTAAATAAAAAATAAATAATGTTCATAGTAATTTTGCAATTGCAAATGGCCTGAAAAATTTAAGAACAAAGCTGAAAACTGACAAACATGACATATGACAGAAATAAGTAATACGGATGGATTTATTAACACAGCACGTATTAAAAATCCATTATTTGTTGTGAAATAAAGAATTAGGGTGCGTTTCCACGGACGCGGAGCTGGGTGGAGTAGAGACGAGCGGACCGTGAATTGATCAATCACATTGCTCGAAATCTCCACTCCGCATCATTAGAAACAGTGTAAGAGCTGAGCGGACTTTTAAATAAAATATATGAACACGCGGCCCCGAGCCGGACAGAACGGAGTCGAGCAAACTGTGGTGCCGAGCGAAGCGCACGAAGCGGAGGGCGGCGTGACGGGTAGGGTAGCGATATTACGTCATAAATTTCGCTCGTCATCGACATTGTATGTGAATCAAAATGAATGAATGAAAAATTTCCATGTTTATGGGATACACGATTGACAACATACAAATGCAATGAAACCAAAGATAAGAATAAAAGCGCTGCTCTGTTTTTTATCGATACATATACGTAACACGACGCGTAATCCCTCCAAGAGATTAAATTTGACTAATCGGAACACGGCTCAACGCAGGCCTGGTCTGCTCTTCTCCGCGCGAACGCACCGAAACGAAACGCACCCTTAGACGGGGGTTTCACCACAATCTCCAAAATGTCACTTTGATAATTTTCTGTTTTCACATTAACGCCTTGTTGGCAAAAATAGAGCGAAGTGACACCTTCACACGAAACCCCCTCACCATAGCAAGACACCCGCCGGATGATGGGTACGCTACGCCAAACATTTCGTGCTAAAGTTGGAACATCTTTGCTGCTTTTGCCACAACCTTTATTGTTTTATGTTTTACCTTTTTTGATATACTCATTATTGTGGGTACTTTTTTTTCCTTTTGAGGTGTTAACTTTTACCTTACTTTTACCAGAAGTTAGATAGTAAAAAATGGAAATGTGGACAACTGTAATTGGCGCTAACTAGCTTTGCCTAAAAATATTCAATGTAAATCGTTACTAACACTTATTGTTGTTTCGAATAAAATAAAATATAAGTTGTGTTATTATTAGACATAGTCAAAGAAATTTCCATCTCTATTATACATGGTAGTTAGATACATATTTCAATGTAATAATCTGTTATGCAGATTCGAAGCCCTGAAGAAATTGATCCGCCAAGAACACGTCCGTGAGCTGCAGAGGAAGTACGAGACAGAACAGAAACAGGAACTCAAGGAGCTCGCTTCAGGACGAAGGTAATGCCCTTTTAATATTATAAACAACTGTGGTGACTAGTGCATTGCATCACAAGTCATCGATCAACTCAAGAGAACTTCTAATCTCCATATTACAGATCGTAGCTGTGAAAAATTTCAAAATTTTCGTCTTATATCTAGATAGCCAGGAAGTAGTTTATATTACATAAATGATCGTGGACATTAATTAATTTCTCATTAAAATGAAATATAAATAATCAGGTTTTTTCCTGCTAATATTATTCTAATATTGATCATAAGCTATAATTATTTTCTGAACTTTGACAAATATGCGTGTGAATAGACGGCATCGTGTGTTATATACTAATTTATAAATTAACTCTTCCTAATATGGGTAGGTGGCACTAATCGTAAACAAATAAAAAATAAGTGCTAATAAAAATCTGTGCAATAAGCGCCATCTAGTTGATTTGTTTGTTATCTCTATAAATTAGAGTAGCTTTGACAAATTGCAGCTTGTCAATGTAAAACAAATTAGTTACAAAAATAGCTATTTGGTACTCGTCCCGACATCTGGTGTACGAATAGGTACTAAATATCCGCCCAGGCTGACTTAGGGCGCGTTCCCAATATGTCGTGACGACAGATTGTCGTGCAGTTTATAGTGTCGTGGCTTTTTGAATGAAGTTGTTCACATATAACACGACACGATTAACTGTCGTTCACGATTTTTTATCGTTACAACAACAAACTGTTGTCACAGTGGGAACAGCTAGAACGACAGCCGTCAGACGATAAAAAAAAACGTCACGATAAAAACATGACGATAGATTGTCGCAGCTCCTATTGTCGTCACTTTTTATTTTTCGCTGTCCGCACGTATTCTGCTCCCTGCCCTCCAATCTTGTACCCCGGACCCTCTGCTCGCTTTGCAGTAGCGTTGGTTCGTCCCCAGAGATTTTGATAACACCGGGTTTAAATCGGGTTAAAACCCTAAATAGAGGGCAATAAATATTTACGTCTAAGTATGTGTTGTGAAATGAGTTTTGTTCAAATTTAATTATACATATTATTACAAAATATTTGTTGCTTTATTAACAGGACAGTTCGATTTACCTTTCTATTGAATAGGTTCGCTTGAAAAGTTCATCAATAAATTGATACAAAAGATGATACGAAAGATCGTATGCACTTGTATCGATCTTCATTGAGAATCCACAGGGTTGACAGGTGGTTAGGTAGTATGTGGAGATGCCTCTTCTTCGTGTAACAAAAATTTAGAAATTTGTTACAAGTTATTGTATATTATGTTGTTAGTGTTGGAATTAATACCAAATTCTGTACTCTTCGTTTCTGCCCACGATGTTGGGCAGAAATGGGTTACAACTCGGCGCTTCGGGTAAAATTCTGGTGAAAACACGGGCGGGTTGATTGGGTTTTAATCTCACAGAGATTAAGATTAAAATTTCGTCTTCATCCATTTCGAGCGAACACACCCTACCGGCTTCCAAAAGAACATACAAGCGACTGCAGTGCATCAAACGATTCTGTCGTGCAAACGATAAGGAAGCTGTCGTGAAACGATAAATTGTCGTCACGATCTAGTGGGAACAGCTAGTCACGACAGTCGTTCAACGATAAAAATCGTCCACAACACATAGTCGTAATATGGGAACAGGGTAGACACGACAGTCGTCCAACATAATAAAACGTGACGACATAGTGGGAACGCGCCCTTATGTCGCGTGTCGCGCGAGACGGTGGTCAAATGCGCATTTAATTTTTTTTAATAAAAAAGCACATAATATCGAGTTCTTAGGTTTTCGCGATTGTTACACATAGGAAAAGAAACTATTTTTCCGGATTTAAATCGCGTATATTTGTTTTTTCAAACAAACCGGCGTTTCGGGCCCTTTACAGGTCCCATGGTCACGGTTGACTGACGTGGTACAGTCTTCAACCAGTTATGTCTAATATTAAAGCAAACCACCCTATTTTTTCACTATAGTTACAACAGTTATTAATTAAATACTTTATTTTTAATTTTACAAAGAAAACATTCCAATTTACGCTACATTAACTTTTACAAATTATTTTATTGAATGAATTTTTATGAAGTTTAATTTATTATTAATTAATTTTAGAAATTAGAATAAACTAAAACATATTAATTAGTACTGCAGTCTTATGTCTGTTTGGGATTTTTCATTAGAGGAAATACTGGATCCCAAACTGGTGGTACGGAGAAACCATCTTCTCTGTTGAAATTAGGATGTTTTTTAATTTCAATGGCCTCTCGCAGCATCCTGTGTAGATAACGGACTTCTTTTGCAAGGACCTGGGGTTTCTCAAACAGCCACGTATACTATAGCATTAATACCTGTCATAGGTGGCCTTGTAGCACAAATAGAGCTCCTTGTGAAAGAGTTCGTCTAGGCAAGTACTGCCACCTTACCTACTTTTGCCGCCAAGCATAGTTATTAAATAGGTAATTATTATTTTTTATAATATCAAGTGACGGGACGAACAAGTCGTGCGCCTGAAGGTAAGCTACACGCCTGTCCATAACAGTTGCAGCGCCACTCAGAGATTTAAATCGCAAAGATCTGAGGGGCACTGCTACTGCGCCCGTCGCCATGAGGCATAAATTGTCAAGTGTCATTTTTTCTAAATGGTTTTTTATATAGCCCCACACTAGGGAAACCCTGTATCGCGGGTGCCATGAACAACACATACACAACCTCAAATTACATCCAAACTCACACGAGAAATAAATGTAGGCTTACAAATATTTCTCCCGGCACGGGAATCGAACCCGGTACCTCTTGCGTAGCAGTCCAGCATGGTAACCGTTCGGGCACGGAGTTACTGATTATTTAAAATAAAAAAAAAACTCATGAAAAATATGCAGATCGTTATTGAATATACTTGAATAAGCTTTTTTAATGATTTTGATTTCATAAATTTGTCACAGATGGCAAAGGAAAAAAATCAATAAAAGCCAAAAAACACAGATCTGCAACAAGCACTTAGAAAGATTCGTAATATCGGCCGTAATCGTATCGGATCGTAAGTTTGTTCCGTAGCTCAGTTAGAAGAGCGTCAGCCACAGTATGCTGAAGGCGCTGGTTCGAATCAAGCCGGACCGAAGGAATTTTTCTTAGAGTTCGATCTTTATATTAATAATTATACCAAACTAATGGAGTAATTACACAATTATTTTTTTATACATATATAATTAACTAAGTGACGGGACGAACAAGTCGTGCGCTTGGTGGTAATCGACACGCCTGTCCATAACAGTTGTAGTACCAACCTAAGCTCTAAATCACAAAGATATCTAGGCCATTGCCTGCGCCCGACACCCTGAGGCATAAGTTAACAAGTTCCATGTAGATATAAGCGCCGCGTTTTCCCATTTCCAATGCAATCGGCGCGCCGTTCAGTTCGTTCGATCAAGCGCCATTTTCACTACGCATACACAATATGAAAGCCTGCGCGTGCGTACGACCGGAGCGCCTGATCCAACTGATAAAAATTTTATTACTATAGAAAATACGTTATTTTATTTTTTCTAGAGATGCGCCCAGTATAAGCTTTACCGAGTAACCGAGTACCGAATATTACTCGTATTAACATTTGCCGAGCCGAGTACTCGGCCGAGTTACTCGCTTCAACACAACCGGAACGCGATGATCCTAAGTGTCCCATTGCTATAGAATTAGACCGATATGTCAATGAAAGTTTATTGTCGCGAGAGCAGACTCCTTGCCAACGGTGGGCAGGGCATAAAACAAGATGTCGAAAACTGGCACAGTTAGCACGAGTGTTTTTATGTGCACCTGCAAGCACTGCATATAGCGAGCGGTTATTTTCCGAAGCGGGCATTGTGTATGAAGAAAAAAAGAACAGACTATTACCTCAACGCGCAGAAAGTCTTGTATTCCTACATCATAACTTGCCTTTGTAAAATTTTAAATATTAATAATGTAAACTTTCTTTTTAAATTACTAAATTGCTACAAATTGTTACAATTGTCTAGAATCTGTAGTAATAAATCTGTTTTGATTATTTTAAATATATTGTTGGTTTTACTTTATTATGTCTATAGCTGTAATGCTTTATTTTAACCGAGTAACTCTTTTCATGAACCGAGTTATTCGGCCGAGTACCAGTAGTAAAAAAACGGCCGAGTACACCGAGTACCGACTAGCAAACGAGTACTCGGCGCATCTCTATTTTTTTCCTTTTAAAAAGTATTTGTATTACGGTTTATGTAAAAACAAACACCGTTATACAAATTCGTTTCATGGTCGCGCTCGCACTACTGAAACACCACCGCCGCCAACACTTTTTCGTCGGCACGTCGCCGCCGGTTGATCTATTGTCGGCGCTCATATCTAATCTAATGTGCCTGTAATTTCACCAGCACCCGTATCCTTCAAAACTGGAACGCTGTAATGCTCACACTACTGCATAGCGGCAGAAATAGGTAAGGTGGCAGTACTTCCCTGGACGAACTCTTTCACAAGAAAATAACAATCATAGGAGTGAAACATCGTGATATTCAATGAAGTTAATATTGTTTCAATTGTTTTGTGACATTTATTAACAAATAAATGAACCTGCCTAAAATTCATCATCATACTGGAATTTTATCAAAGGCTAGAACGACGGCTAACCTGCTATTCGACTTGCAGCTTCTGGATGGTTTATAATTATCCCAATATGACGTAATCCCCACCCCTTTGGAGAGTGCCACAACGCAAATATCCGCAATGGATATCAGCATGGATCAATGCGGATACGGATGTGGATACTAACGTTCGCAGCACACAAATCTGATACCTACACGAAAAGTTAGATACATTTGCAAGTTGCCAGTGCTATAGTATTCTCAACTGTTCTCTGTAACAGCTTCCGTGTAGTTTCCACTTGTTGGAGGGTAACAGTCAGTTATTAGTGACAGCTGATACTACCGACTGTAATATTTGAAAAATTTGCAGGGCACATTGTAGAACGCCGTCACGGAGAAAAGAAATAACATGTAAGCAAATATTTTACGCGGCCTTTAAGCGTCTGCCGTCACTTTGGCAGTAGTGTTACCCAAAACCGCTTTTGATCTTGCAGTTTTGGTCTTGTTCTTGCATTTTTACAAGGGCAAGACCACCTAATTTTAGGAAAACCAAGACCGACCCTGCTATATTTGAGCAAGAACAAGATTAAGTCTACGAGACTCTTGCGTCTTGCAGTCTTGACATGATAAACGTTCCCTAATATCGGTATCAAAACCACTGTTTCTTCCAACAACAAAGTTAAAGCGCTGCGCTCTCTTGTACCCATAACAAACGCTAAGCAGTGTTATTTAATGATAATCTAAAATTGACTAAGCCTAAAATCATAACCAATCAATAAAATATTGTAAAAATATGCAATAAAATAAAAGTAAAAATATTGTGAAAGTTTGTAAAGTAAATTTTTCATCATTTGGTTCGCATACACTACACCTATGTCAATATGTATTCAAAATGTACCTACTCTGTTGCGTTATTATAAAATGTGAACGAAATCTCATTGTTGCTTTATTTTAGAATAATAGGATGTGATAGCTTTATAAGTAAGAAGACTCTACTAAGACCAAGACTGCGCTTAGTCTTGTTTTGGTCTTGCATTGGGCAACACTAAACAACAGCGACCTAGATATTTAAAAAGTGCTCTCTTGAGGACAACATACGGTTTATCTGATGTATATACTTGTTCGATGGCCTGTAATAGCCTTGTACGTAAAATATATAGAGCATATTTATAGAGCGTTCTATGTTCATGTGTAGGCGCCGTATATTGTTTTCATTAGGACTTTGTACATAGCTAGGACGCTTCTTGTTTACAGTTTAACACAGGGTGCGCACGATGTCGTTTGTAACTTGAGCTACTGCTAAGATATCTAAATGAGCATCTCAAAAACGTAAATGAATGGGAACGTAGAAAAGAATGAAAATTAAATTTATGTGCACAAAATATGGTGAACATGGTGAATCCATTATCCTTAATAAATACCTCACACGTAGTTGTTGTAAGTCATATAAATTTTTGCATTTTAACTCAAATTTTACCTTTTTTTTAACTCTTTTTTTATGTATATTATAGGTTCCATGTTTGAAAGTATACAGACTATAACCAAATTAGAAAAGTTTCCATATCGGGAATCGAACCCGGGATTTCCTCATCCAGCGTCCAAATGTTTATTTACAAGGAGCAACCCCTATAATTTCTTGCTTATTCGTCTCGGTGGAATCTGCCTTACGAATGAGCAGTTAAGTTTAATGAATATGACGAATTCAAGTGTAATTTGTATATTATGAAATAAAGGTTATTTTACTTTGACTTAGACTTGAGGGAATAAAACTAATTGGTTAATAGGAGATAAGTCTGGTTTATAAGTCGGCTAGGAAACATTTACTTGCTTTCTAACAAATTGTAGGCCTCATAAGGGTTAGTATCTTAATATCTAAATAAGTTAATATCTTCAATTCCCTAAAGTAAAAGACAACTCTTTCGCTGGCCAAAACATAAATTGCTCTCCTAAATCCGGAAACCCTCTTCTTGGAGGAAATCCTTGTCATATATGTATGAGTTTATTGTTGTTAAAAATGATAATCGAATTAGCCATCTTTCTTGCAGTGACGACTATGTGTATGGAAGCTATGGCGAACAAGAACCTCGTGGTCTGCAGACGTTGCAGGTGGAATACCCGGCTGATGAGCCCAGCGCCAGGCACAGCAAGTAAGTGGTACCTTTTGTACACACAAATTGGAGTGATAATTCATTCAATAGCTTTAGTTTTAAGCTAAACACTAAGAGCCTATACACACGGCGTACGAGTATTTTATACACGCCGATGACGCACGAACGCGCGTTTACGGCGCCGTAGATAAAAGCAGATAACAATCTGCTTTTAGACCCTCGTTTGTGTCAATTCAAATGCGATACAGACGCGTGCGGGAAACGCGTTCTAAGCTCGTCGGTAACGCGCGCAAACATCGCGTTGCAAGCAAAGAGTTTATATACTCCACTGGAATTTAGACTTAGAATTTCATGTAGTTGCTTCATTTCAAAAACTGACTGAAATTAACAAATAAAACTAAAAATAAAACTATCTCTTATCAAAATGCGTGATACATAACGCGCGAGTACAGCGATCACACGCCCTGATGACGCGCGTCGTCGGCGCGTATAAAATACGCTGTGTGCATAGGCTCTAAGAAGACCATAGAATCTCTAACACCAGAAGCAAATACAAATCGTACCTTTGGTGTAATAAAGCCACATGCGATCATAAATCAAAAGTGCTTTCATCACATGAAAGATATAAAAACAACAAAAATTTAACACAACAAAAAAACATAAAAAGTTGTCATCTTCGTTCGTAGCATTTTTTCATCACACTTGCATGTAAATAATATGATTGCATGCAGTTTAACTTGACTATAATGTCCCTAAATAAAACCCTGGCTGTAATGAGAAGAAAAAAGCCTTCAATCATACTACTGACGTGTTACGTGTATGGTTCACAGGCGGTATGAGAATTACGAACCTCGAGTCCGAAACCCCTCAGTCATCTACTTCCAATAGTCTCGTTCGTAGTTCCTTATTTACCGCCCTTAATACGCAATGTACTATAAACAGTATTATTATATAGTTTTAGAGTATCTGGTCATATGCTCGATGACTATAAACTTCTCTCCTGGAAAGGTGCAGATGTGGCCTTATTACACCGAAGACGCAAAATTATGAAAGCACTACAGTTCTTATTGAGGAAAATAAAAGCGGTGTTATTGGCTCTCTTCTTAAATCCGCTGATCTACTTAATCACTTCTAAAGCTTCTAAAACACAAAAACAAAAATAAATATTTTTAATCCAAATTTTGTCTACAATTGAATTTGAAACAATGTCTTTAATAATTATTAATACAGGAACGAACACAAAGAAAAATGTGAGAGATCTTTGAAGCTTTTCACTCAATCGGTACCTTTACAGCTACCAGAGTCTGACGTGAGATGTCGTTATATTTATTGTTACATTAATTTTTATTAAATATCATGATGATTAAATATCAATGTCTTTGATGGTATATTTTTTACAGGAAACCTCCATCTGGAAGCCGCCAAGTATCCCAATTCTCTCGCTACTCTGATGTCATGTTGCCGCCGGCCCGTCGCGCCTTTTACCATCCTCTCTTCGACTACCCAGCTCCAGAGATCGTTCCCTACGTATACTGAACCCTCCACACCTCCATTCCGAGAGGAAGAACATTCTAGCATCTTCTAGAACCACATAGATTCAACGGAGGAATTCTCGTTTGTACAAAATAACTTCGCGGGCTTTAACTCCAAATATCAATATGAATTGCCATATCAGAAGCATATCTTTTTATACGCTTTCGCTTGGACAAATATTCTCTTATATAATGCGAGCTTCCTTTCCTTATACCTTCTTGCAATATTTTTATACTTATAAAAGAAAGCGAGAGTTTTCGATGTAGATATGCTCTGAATTTTTAATATACCCACTTTGAATAGGTAATCGCATTGTATTTTTCGATAGGTTTAAGATTTGAAAGGAGAGTATCCTGGAATTTAATATTCTAGTCCATAATAAGGCTCTAGGCCTAGGACTTATATTGGAAATTAATACGATACTTCCAAATAAGACAATAATAGTGCATGTATTCGTATACAAAATTGAGCAATTATAAAATATCCCGTCAATTTCAATTGTATTAGAATTTGACGATAAAAAAAACAGACAATAAAAATGTAATGCAACCGTATGACAATAAGGTGAATGTTTTACAAATGATGTTTAATAGGAATTAAGCGTGTCTTAAAGAACTCTGTGTTTAGATATTTCTGGGAAGTTGTAGAAGTAATTTGTTTCAATTGCGGCGGCCAGCCGGCTGGAAATTTAATGTCTTTCGCTTCGATTCCTTTCCTTTGAAAAGTTTCTTTTAGACGTACATTAAAAAGGAGCAGGATTTATTTCATGTATTCTTTAGTTTAACTTTTTATTACATTTACGAGGTGCTGTCTGAGCCCGACGGCCTCGAAGGAACGAAGCGAAAATATTTCTTTCCATTTTCAAATAAAATATTTTCGTATAAGTATTAGATATTTCTTCGCCCATGCTTTTCAGTACTATAATTAAGTAACTAATTTATTCTATTATTATATGTTTTTATTATATGATTTAGTATGTATATTGTGTTACATATTAAGGCTAAAGTACACAATTAGTTTTATTTTAAGAAATAAAACATTATGAGCACAGTACTGCCATATGAATGGGATACTTAATAATTTTATGTGTTGTATTATGTAATCTATTGAAACAATTTATTGTGTCAGTATAATTGATTTACTAATCAGTAATAGTTCTATTTTAGTTCTATAGTACTTTTCAACGTGTATTATCTAGCCAAAAAGCTGTATAAGTAGTAATTATGACAATAATCACTGAAATTCCAGTAGTCGGTAATATTATAAACAAATATATACATAATTTCTCGTTGTGATTAGTCGCTAAGTGTACGTTTATGATGTAAAATATCTCAAAAGCCTTCAAGACGGCTAAGTCGGTTTCCTTCGCGCAGTCATATACTTTAAAGTTTTTTTTTACATTATATAAATGTAATTTAAATTTATTCATAACCAACGCTTCAAGTCTATCTAAACACGTAATATTTATATTAGTAGGAAAAATATTATGTGTTGTAAAATAATTTATAACAAAAATTTACATTTTAGGCTCAATTTATACTGCGGCGGAACGGAATGGAAGCGAATTTTTGTAACGATATTGTACATTGCATAATGCACTTTGTGGTCAATTGTGTAACGTACAAACTTGATACGAGCAAGCGCGAGAATTCCGCGGAAGATTTTGGCTCGTATCTAAGTTTGTAAGTGTAACACAATTGACCATAATGTTCATTCTGCAATGTACAATATCGTTACAAACATTTGCTTCCATTCCGTTCCGCCGTAATATAAATAGAGCTTTAGAGATTCCCGAATGCATTCACCAATTTTTCTTGCAAAAATATTCTAGTAAATTTATTTCATAAAATATGATCTTACTTTTTGCGCAATCGGACGCCGACAGAAAAATGCTTTAATTATATTTAAATGTTTCAAGTTTATTGTAATAGTTAATTGTAAATTAGCAATCGAGGCGCCTCGAGCGGCTTTCAGTAATCACGTACTATTCGATTGTAGGTATAAGTGCGATGGCAGCCTGTGGAATGTTTCGTATGTATTGAAACGTAATGACTTCGTAATACGCAAGACAACAACTCACTAAAAACTTAAGTGTAAAAGGCGTGGGCGCGGATTACAGAATTTGAACAAACGCAAACGTGATCTCATCTCAACGTTCACATTGGACTTTTAAAAAGTGATTCCCACCCGCGCACACCCAATGTTATAACACCAACAAACCACCACAACACCCACACACTCTTCCTTCTAATGATTTTGTCAGAAATATTGTCGGTTTCGCACTGAAAATTGAAGGCTGTAATTCTAAGGAAGTTGTTACCTATTTGTGTACTATATTTATTATTGTATCTTATTGTCTATCGAGTTAAGTATCGACGCGGTACGTCGACATAACCTTACAGACTATGAAATTTGGCTTTAAAAATATATGACACATGTATTATGGCTTTAAGCAAGTCAATGAATTCATTAAACTTCTATTTATTGTAACGGACGCAAGTCCCATCCTACATGTTACGATTTAGCGAGATATCTATACATATTTTATTTATATACTGATAATTTTTTAACAATATTCTGTAGAGTTTTACAAAATTATTTTATTGTCTTTTAAAAGTCATTGATAGTTAGGTAGTGGATAATACATTGAGTAGTGTTTATTGAAAGCGTATTGCAATTAAATATACATAAATAGATGTTTGAATTATATCTGAAACACTTCATTGATATTAGAATTTTCGCAGTTACATATCTTTGCGACTAAGTCCGATAGCTAAACATATGGGAGTAATCATATCAGTAGGTACATGTAACCAACATTGTGTCAATCTAGCTATCGAATGTGATAAATTTTAAATCGAGATTTTTTTCATATAGCAACACTAGCAACAATACTTCTCCCCAGTGATATAATTTGAAACCACATTCGATGGCTTAGAATTATGATAAAATGGGTAGTTTTAAAGAGAAAACAAGTATAATTAGCTCCTGTGAACATTGGTGTTATAGGTACTACTGACAATATGCAGCGCGGTCTGTATGACAATAAAACATGGAGCCGTAGTCAGCGCCATATTATTATCCTTTTCTAAAATATGTTTTTTTCATTTAATATTATGTAATCAGATAAAAGAAGTATGCACATTTAGCCAGGGAAATATGTCGATGTATCCGTAGCAAATTTACTCTTTTTCTTCTCCTTTTTTATCAGTTTTAATTTAAAATAACTTTGACACTGACTATGGCTTTTCGATAATATAATGTAAAACCAAGACCGCGCCTGCTTTTAGATGTACAAGTAAAACTTACCGTAAAAATAATTAATGTTTGAAATGTATATTATGATCGGTGGTTTTTTTGAGAAATAAAGATAGTTACATACTCCTGAGCAGAATGATTTCGTTATTGGGTCAGTGCTACATTGGCCACCGTCCTTTAACAATTTCTGCCGTTCTTGTCACAAACTGTTGGTAACTTTCGAGATATTAGCACCTATAGTTATTTGTTATGCAAGGCTGCAAAGTTGTTGATTGACGCAAGTGCTTGTATTGAAACCTGAGCAAGTGAAAGCGGCTAAGATTGAATTGGTTCAAAAATAGAATCCTGGACGTAGCGAGGGTTTCAAGGCACGAGATGCAAAACAAATTTGCTGCCGAGCGAAACACACAACTTTTCACCTCACTATAGAGAGGAAAATGATAGACGAAAAAACAGAACTTGAACTATAACAAATCAGTTTTATTCATTCATACATCAAAAATATACCAACGGATTTATATTACATAAATAATGTACGATAAATCGCGCAGTTAAACGTGTCATTATGTTTTTTTTTCATCGAAAGAAAATGTTTAGTGAAGTTCGAATTTCAAAAACCTTTCCACACTAGCGTGGTTTCTAATGAGAAAGAAAGGTTTTCCGAGCTAGTGAGGTGGAAAGATTTTATTTCTTTGAAAAATGTCAATTACTCTGCGTTGAAACTGAAACGAAATAAGACTTATATAACCGCTTTTAGGGGTTGTAGATTTCGTTTCGCTGATTCCAGCTATATTTATAACTAACTGAATTTCTCTAAAAATATCGATTACGTTGTTTGTGTTAAGGACGGTAGATTTCCTACCTTTCTTTATTTGTTAAGATACTCGCTAAGCTGACTTATTGTGATGTAGAAAAAAGCATTGCAAAAAACGTGTGATGAGCCAGTCACGTTGCGCCGTCACACAATGGATGGATCCTATGTGTTTTCCGGCTAAGAAACAAAATGTCAATGTCAAAAACTAACGATTAGGTGCCAGTAAGTGGGTAACTGATTGATGATTAGTTTCTTGTCGTTTATATTTTCTTTCTTCAATTATGAAAAGTTAAGACGCTTGTGGACGCACGCTAATAAAGCACAGAATTTATGTTGACGCAAGACTTTTTCGTAGCAGTAGAGTTCCTTTTGAAAGAGTTCGTCTAAGGAAGTACTGCCACCTAGCCTATTTCTGGTAGTCAAGCATGACACTTACGCTAAGAACACACGAAGCGATTTTCACCTGCGCCCGCCGTGGTTGCGGAACCACGGTCTCCGTAGATGTATGTATGTAAAATTTAGTGGTACTTTTCACGACGCGTTTTACACCCGTGACAGGACCGGTGGACGGCCCGCAGCGTCCGCGGTCGCTTCGCCCGCCGCGATCTCTATCGATTGTAAATAACCGCGACTTGCGGTCGTCTCCCGCCAAGTTTGCGGGCTGTTCCGCAATCGCATCTACGTGACCGCACTAACATTTATTCAATCAGATTAATGAAATACGTAAAATATTGAAATAAAACGGCGGTCCCGCAGCCGCGGCGGGCGCGTTGGAAACTGCTCCGTTAGTTGTTAACCTTACAAATAAGAAACGTTCTCTTAAGCCTTTCATAGACCGTACTTAAATAGTAGCGCACACAAAAATGGCGATACTTTTCTACACGTAGTGTTTATATTGATTCAATTAATGGTTAAACGAACTTACCTAAAGTGATGTTCTATCATAATTATACGAAGCGCCTCGTCCGAAGAGATTAGTAATTGAAGATTATGTAGTACTTGTAGTAACGCATAGGTACCACTACTCTGCAAATAGTTAGGAGTTTTTGTTATATAAAAAAAATATATAGATATATTGAGGGTACACTTTCGCAGCAACGCCATCTTAGTTCGTTATTTTTCATATAGTTTAGAGCCCTGCATTGATGTATATTTTCAGAATGATTAGTAATGAGAGCGGTTCGCTTAGGGCGGGAGGGAATCAGTTACTAATCTCTTCGGACGAGGCGCTTCGTATAATTATAATAGAACTTCACTTTAGGTAAGTTTGTTTAATCGCCTCGTCCTCGAGATTAGAAATTGAAGATTATGTAGTATTTGTAGACTTTGAGAGTATGACAAGACTAAAATATCATCAATGATAACAGAGGAATAAGTACAAGATAATATATTTGAATGAAACATTTTCATATTGTACGTACAATTTACCAAGCAAATCGGATATAATACGTATATTTTGTTTATGTTAGGTATAAATTTACTTAATTAGTACGGCACTAAATAAAAATAAATGCAAATCAAAAAGAATATTTCTAAACACAGCTTAGATAATAA